TAAAACGAACGAAAGCCGAGTGGCTTGTTGTTCTTCTTAAATCGTTAAAAAGGACAACACGCGAATGCACATAGGTATTATTATTATATGCCGGTTCGCGTGCAACCAGCCAGTGGGTCATAATGTACAGTATAAAACGCGCTTTACGCACGTGTGTTCAAATACAAGTAGGCAAGCACACATGTGTGTGAACACTAAATCACGTTCAACAATATCGCCATTGTGTTTTGGAACGGTATACACCTAAGGCTGGTGCACAAAAGCTGCGAAAGGGGCGTGCTACGGTTGTGGTTAGCTCTTGCATACAAGTAGGCGCGCGCGCGCGTGTCTTGAAACCTAATGCCGAGACGATTTCCGATTGCGATAATGTTAGAAATCATTGTCGCCGCCGCCGCCGTCGTTCATCGGTATCTCGATAATTATTTAGGAACGCGACATTTACTACACTTAAAAGGTTTATTTTAAACACTTAAGGTCGAGTATTCAGTTAAAAGTTCCAATTCAATCTATGAGAAATTCGGAAAATCAATAATAATTGTTTTAGCTTGAATGCATAGCTGAGAAGAAAAGCTATTGTTTTTGCAACTATTTTGTGTGTGTCCGACCCATGACATCTTCTTCACCGCCGAATGGAGATTCTCATTCACGTATGAGCCGATTTTTTCACATAGTAAGTCTATAAATCAGATATCGTACCTAAAAGAAATTTCTTTGGCCTAAAAGTTCAACTCTTCCCCTCTAAACATAGTTTTATCGTTAAAAAATCCTTGACAAACGAAAAAATATCATAAAACCCTCCCCACCCTCCTCAGAAAGGTGGAAACTTTTCATTATTTTTTTTTGGTGTAGTGTTAGGATTTAAGGTCTGAAAATAGATTAGTTATAGATCTGTAATATATTGGAACTGTATCATTAACAATTTCCTCAAAAATATATAGTTAGACCTTTTTTTTTGTTTTTATTAAGAAAAATGGGAAAATTACACTTTGGCAGTAGTCAATTCTTTCGTTGCACTGTGTGAGTGAATCAACAGTCAACAGGTACTTGAAAACATTTTTATTATATTGTTATTGTAACAATACGGCAACATCATTACTATAGACAGACGACAACTCTATTCTTATCCACCCTAACGCTAAAAATACATTTTTAAGCACATTATTTTCCCTACAATGCTTTTACCAATATTTGTAATTTTATCATCTACAGATACGCATCGAAACGTTTATTTGAAAGTGATTTTATCACTTTCAGTTATAATATATCCTATTGATTTTTGACCTCTCCCTCCCCAATATGCACCGACATAGCTATACTTAAATATACATATTACACACTTTATAGGAATAAAAAAAACCGTGTTGTTATAAACCATATACATATGTATTTAAAAAACTGGACGTTCCTACACAATTTGCCACATTCGGATTCAACGAAAAAGAATGTTACCTACATTAAATAGCAATTATTTAATAATTACTGTACTTTGATTCTCAGTGCTCATAAACAGTCAACTTTTATTGAATATTATGTTTTTTATGATATCAAATAAATCATATGAACCCATAAGTTATTTAACAAAAATGTTTTAATAACAATTATTTATAAATATTGTAAATTTAATGATATTGTACTTGTTTATTAGTTATTTTTCAAAACATCTAGATACGTTTCTTAGACCAACCCTTTAATAGTATACAAAGTGTTGAATTTAACATGAGTTGCGTAATCATAATTTTGCGATTTCCATTATTTTCTTAATATTTTTGTAGATTTTTTTATAGTAGGTACAAATCATTATTAGGTATAAAGTATAATTATTCACCACATTTTAATAAAATATAAAAAAAGTCTTTATCACTCATTTTTTTATAATAATTTTAATGAATAGTTTTTACCATCTACGTTTTCGCATTTGTTTTAAAGTTATTGATCACTTTCAGTTATAAAAATATTCCATTATATTAGAAAAACGTTATAATAAAAGACTTCACTTTTTACTGGAAAAAATCCAGTAACTATGTACATTACTAATTGCACTAAATTAATTAATTACAAAAACTACCCAGAAAAGGTCTTGTGAAGATTTTGGACTGCAGATCAGACAAGTCTGAAACTAAATCGACTATTTTTTTTTTAATTTTGAACGGAAGGGTTGATTTTGTTTAACGCTGAGCCTTTTAAAATATTTTTTGGTTGTACTATTTAATAACTATGGTCTTGCTTTATGAAGAAATCTGTCCAGTGGTTAAAAATTTCAGACCAGAGACTTTCTGGCCAGGAGTAAATGATAATGCACCCCAACTGTTTAAATAGTTAAATTCGAATAGGTTTTTCAAAAAAAGAAAATTCGCTTAAAATTGGGGAATTTTTCATAGGATGCAAGTTCAAAAAGCCTAAATGAGCTTTTTGATGTATGATTGAGTGCGTGTTCGATTGGGACATTTTACTGGAAAACCAATAATAAAACTTTTCGGCTAAATATAATTTAGCAAAATGGCGCCGTAATGGCGATACGGATCTTGTTGGATCATCGTCGCAGAGATTACAATAATTAACGTCGACAATATTATACCGAACAAAGACGATTTGAGTACAATAATATATTTGTGGACAAAAAAAAACCCAATAATCGTATAATATACTTTTTTTTTTAATATTACACGGCCGTTTTTTCTTTTTTTTTTTTTTAGTATTATGATAAAGTGAAAATGTCGAATAAACTTTGGCATAGATGTTCGAACAACGGAGATAGACCGCACCAATGAACGACATTGTGTTTTTTAATTTTTTTTTTTAACTGTTATTAAATACAAAAGTATTGGTAAAAATTAATTTTCTATAAGTATAATAAAAAATATTTTAATCGGTTTTAATATGTTAAACGTACTTAAGTCAATGATCGATTTCCTAACTGACTGACTGATTCATTATCGCCTAGCCAGAAACTAGCTCGCCTAACCACTGAAGCTATGAGTATCAAATTTATATGTATTGTATGTATATTTTATAACTAACAGTAGACAGCAGGAAGTAATTACCTTAAAAACAGAATTGAGAAACCCAAAAATCGAAATTGGGATTTTCAGATTTTGAAATTTATAAATTTTGTATTTTGGATTTTGAAATCCGCATTTTTTGGATAATCCGGATTTCTGCCATATTAACATTTCTAGAAATAGACACGGGTAGATCGGTGGGAAATTATCTGTTAGTCTCTTCCCAGTTCGGGACCGCGACCCTATGTATTATTATCGCTAAACTTTTAAAGAGTTTCCTTTTGTTATAAATCAATGTGTGAGTTGAGGAAATATAATTAATAAAATTACTTGTCGAAACGATAACGCGTGTATGTGTAACCTTCGGAATTGTCGTATAAAAAATTGTAAATGTGTTACATGTATTTTCGATAAACGGAAGCTCAAAAAAAATTAGCTGTAAAGAAATTGCTTCAATTTTTTTTAATTTGTGTTTGACTTCGAGTATAAAATATTTATATTCGGTCGGGTCTGAAGGACAACCGACAGTTAATAACCCTACGCTACACAATGTTCATTATTCGAGTTAAGATTATAAATTAAGCACACCCTACAGTAATTATTACTATTAAACACCTCGGGTTACATTGAGTAGGTTCCAAACGGGTATTGGTTTGTAAACAGGGTTGACGTTGTTAATTAATACTTTGTTTGAAACATATTTCAAGTACGGTTTTTGTTTAATGTTTAATAGTTTGTTTTTGGCTTCGATAAAAAGCCGAGAAGTTATTTCTCGTTCAAAATAAATTAAAAAACACAATTTTTACCGACTAAGTCTAAACCAGAAACTAGAACAACACCTAACCTAACCTAATCTAACCAACCGTTTTATATGAATATATACTGATAACGATTGTAAACTATTAGACGTTTCAAAATATGGTAACGGTTTTTGTGTCCGTTTAAAAATGTAAGAAAATTACATCAGCGGCTGTAACCTCATTTTATCAGAACACTGTTAATTACCGAAACCCAACAGAGGAAGTCTGTTATGTATAGGTTAAATTAATGGCATACCTACATTACGGTTTTTTTCTTATTTAAACGTTCGCAAAATCACTGCCCGGAGCACTTGAAAGTGTAGAAAACCAGTTTAAACTTACTCAATGCTAACTTAACCTAAAACGCGTACTTGGCGGCGAATTCATTAAAAATTTATAATAACCGCTTATTAACTTACTAATTAATCAGAGCCGTAACCTTTGAAATAATAATAATATTAAAATAATAATTATGAGGTGACTCGAACAATTTTTTAGTAATACTATGAGTTGCACAATGATTTACAAAGTTTTAATTTTTTTTTTTTTTACTTTAGAAGCAACGGATTTAATACAACGACAATAATCGTTTCGAATATGTTTATATACTTAACTCTTAAGTATGTCAGGGGTTTCTATGGATATTTAATTACGTCTTAATATATATATATATATATACATTATATTGTACACGTTATACAAGACACGACGGTATAATATTATGTCGGTGTGAGAGGTGCCGTTTTACCTGATAAGATATTATACACTATTTAATATGGTAGTTTAAATAAAATTAATTTGTAATTTACCAAATAGGCGAATGGAACGCGCAAGACGGTAATCGGTATTCTATCGTTTTGAGTACAATACTATTTTGGTGTAAGTACACGAAAATATAGTAAATTTCTAATATTGTTCTAATTGCACTACGCGGTGGGGTTTCTATTTTCCTGGTCGGACTTATGTTTGTATCTAATGGGGATGTTTAAAAAAAAACATGACACTCAAATTTGCACAAGGCAGCTAGTGTATTATTTTTTTATAGTAATTCTAATGGTTCTTTATACACGTTCAACAGCTGTTTAACCTAACCGGTCGTCCATATGCTGACCGATCGTCTAGTGGTAGTTAATTATTTTTAAAAATTTGTTTTTAACAAAACACCAAAAACTATGGTTAAAACATAATAGGTTCCACTCACTTGCATAATATGCTTCCGAAACATCCGAAACTACTTCCGTTTGCGACCAGTCGCGAATATGAAACTGTCATAGTTTTCGATAGCGCGAAAAATACTTCACCGCTAAAAAAAAAACGTATCGTCACATACCGATTACAAAAAAAATAATAATTTATGTCTTATATATGTCTTATTATCGCACTGTATTTTTTCCAGTCTTATCACATAACATGGTCGATTTTTTCACGTCCGCCGACCGTAATAATAAGTAAAGTATTACTATTTTTTTTTTTTGTAAATATTACTTTCAAATTTTTAAAAAAAAAACCGACAACAACACGACGGTTAAAAATACCAAGGAAAAATTATCAATTTGTTTGCAAATCTATATTATATTATTTTCGAAAGAACTAATAAAAACGAGATTTATCTCGCGAATCACAAAACTACGGTGTTAAGATTTACGGATAGAAAACAAATTTTTTTTGTTTGTATTTTATGTTATTTTGAAATTTGTATTTTCTTTAGCGCGACAAAATGAACTCGCCGATCGGGTCGTTCGACGGGTCTGGTACTTCTGTTCGGTGCTGTTGCCCGACCGCAGACCGTCCATCCAACGTACTTCCACCGGTGCTCCCTCCATCGCCTTACCGCCGATCATACGCGCACATACCTATGTATATTTTTTATTGGAAACCACGGTGTATACATGTACACACACACTTTTTTTTTTTTTTTTTACAGAGCGTTAACATTACACACACACACACACACAGACAACACACAGCATAATGAAGGATAATATATAATATAATAATACACTAGGTGTATACCGCGCATAGCGAGAGCAAGTCGGATACGCATACAGAGTGATTCATCAAAGATAAGACGCTCGTTTTCTTGGAAAACAATTGCAATTTTGTGGTCTTTTCGTTTGGAAAACATTTTTGTTTATGTAGTTTTACATTATTGAAAAATTACTAAATACTTACTCATATATCAAAATTTTACAGAACTCTATCGACTTTTAAAACTTAAACGATAACGTATACATATATATATTTAACTAGTTACACTTTTTTACCTATACACTCAAATGCTACATGTTAACTGTGACTTTGTTATTACATAAAATAACTAATAGCATGTCAAGTAATATGTAAGTATTTGTGTTAATTTCTGATGTAAATTTTTCAGTTTAGTTTTTTTTGTAAATAGCAGTATTAAGTACTTAGTATTATACTATGCCAATAAACTATAAATAAAATCTCTTGACTGCTCTACAAGCCCAGGCTCATGGGAGACAAATCATTTTTTTATAATGTACACCGTGAAACTGATATTTTATGATGTATAAATAAGTAAAATACAATTTAAATGACTTTTTCAGTTAAGAGCAATTTGCTGAAAATGTTGAATGGTCAATAACCAGTTTTGCATAATTACTTTTCAAGTTACTATAGCTTAAACTTTAGGAAAGGAAAGGGTGGATTGTAGGTATAGTAACATTTGTACCCACGCACATTACTCAACAGCACTCCACCTCCCGCACTACATTTTAAATTTTAATAACTTTAAGAGTAATTATTTAAAACTGAATATAGACCAGTTAAAATTTGTCAGCTAATTATTCATAATTTAAATAAGTAAATTAAATGTATAAGTTACTATAATATAAGTTTTAAAAGTTGTTATAGCTCTGGAAAAAAAATTTTAAAATTTAAATAATTTTTGAATATTGTCTAATATTGTAAAAGAACATAAACTAGTGTCTTCAAAAAGATAAACTACAAAATCGCATTTATTTAAAGAAAAAATTAGGTTAGCGAAATTTTATAAAATATAGAACTTTTATAATAAAATATAGACATTTTATGATGTATAGAATTTTGATAACAAAATATAGAAATTTTATGAAATATAGAAATATTTTAAAATATAAAAAGTTATAATAAAATATAGAAATATTTTATAAAGTTCTATGTTTCATAAAAATTTTATATTTTATTTAAAAATTTCTTTATAATATTATATAATTTCTATATTTTATTATAAAAGTTCTATATTTCATTAAATTTTTGTATTTTATTAAACTTCTATATTTTATTACAAAAATTCTATATATCATACAATTTTTATATAAAATTATAAAATTTCTTAATTTCATAAAATTTCTATATTTTATTATAAAAGTTCTATCTCATTTGATAGAGTCTGGAATCCAGGTCTTCTTCTCAAACTCCGTAACATTTTTCCTCCTTCCTATTTCCTTTTTTATAAGTCCTACCTGGAGGACCGCTCCTTTGCGACAAAAGTCGGCACAGAAATTTCTCCTTTACATCTAATAAAATCGAGCGTTCCTCAAGGTGCAATATCCTCTCTCTTACTGTTTAATATATATACTGCTGACCAACCGACAACTATTAATACCCTTGTGACTGACTATGCTAATGACAAAGTATTAATTTTAGTACATGAAAACCATAACTCCGCTGCTGCCCAACTTCAATTACACCTAAACCATATGTATGACCGGTGTCAGAAATGGCATGTCATGCTAAAGTCTAAACGAAAATAAATCCTTTCATATTATTATTACTCTCCGTCTTAACAATCCTCCCCAAGTTTTTATTAATAACAGTCTTATTCCTTCTTCAAGTAAAGCTAAGTATCTTGGTCTTACACTTGACCGTAAACTTAACTGGGCGCACCACATTCATGCCAAAATAATAAGTGTAACCAACGCCTTAGAACACTCCAGCCTCTACTCCATAAAAATGCCAAAACTAACCTGCACACTAAACTCGTATTATACAAAAGCATTATCAAACCAATGTGGTCGTATGGTATTGAGCTATGGGGCGCAGCAAAAAAATCAAACATTAAAAAAAATTCAAGTTCTCCAATCAAAGTGCCTTCGGCGAATTCTAAACGCCCCACCTTATATCTCAAACGAAACAATACACAACGACCTTCACCTTCCTTCTGTTAAAGAAACTGCTATCTCTCGTTATAAACTCTTTCACAACCGTCTCCAAAATCATTCAAACCCTCTTATTAAAAATATGTCCTCCCTCACAATCCCAGATAACCCTTCTCGTCGCCTAAAAAGATCCTGGTGCAGAGACCTTCTTCATTAATAAATATGTGTAAATATGTCTGTAATTGTAATTTTTCTAAAAATGTAACATAAATGTAATTGTAATTTAGGTTAAGTAATCATGTCAATAGGAGTTCCGCCACTGGGTGGTCTCTTCACAAGTTATTCAAGTTATGTATATAATAATTTTATCTCAAATACTTATTGTATATTTTATACAGATTGTATTTTATTAAAAAAAAAAATTAAAAAAATTAAACATATATTTTATAAGATAATGTAACAGAATATTACATTAAAACCAATACCTTTGACGCTTTGCACCGAAGCTAAAAGAGCATCATTTAGAGAATGCCAAAAAAGCACAAAGATGTTTAATAAAAACAAAGAAAGCCTGGTCGTCTGTCTAAAATGATTTAGTACCATAGTTACACGTGTATTGTAACAAAATAATGAAAATATTTTCAAAAACCACTGTTTTGTTGATTCATCCACATGTAGCAACGTAGCAAATTGACTGCGGTCAAAGTGTTATTTTGCTCTTTTTTTTTATGAGTTTTTAGATTTTTGTGAAAATTGGATAAATTATAACCTTACGTTAGATCTATCTCCTTTAGAACGTTTAGATATTTTTTTTTCATTAAGAATGTTATTGGAATATACATTCTGATGCTACTAAACAAAATGTAAAATATAAGACAGTACGAAACCCAAATATATAAGGTAATTTTTAGTGACCATTTAGTAATTAAGTAAAGTTTAAAAAAAGCTTTACTGCACTGTTTTAACCATAAAACACATTTTGTTTGTCTTATTTGCTTTGACTTACCGACTAAAAAAAAATTAGTTAATAATCTATTAATCATTTCACTTTAACACAAAATAATAATAATAAGGTTTCGAGTTCCCTAAAGTAAAAATAGAACCAATCCATTTTTTTAAAAATTGTATTATATTTTATAATATGATAGTACAGAGTTATGAATAATAATAATTTATATTTTGATTAAGGGGAAACCCAAATCTATAAAGTAATTTTTAGTGACTTCAATCACAAGCTTTTCAATTTGAGCCTCCAATTCTTCTACGCGTGCAAATTTATCTTCTATCGTATTTCCATCTGTGAAAAAAGTTTTGAATACATCTGTGTCTTTAACGATCCTTGGTTTATCGCTCTCTGATATAATACAATGGTCATTAAGAAAACGATCTAACGTACTTGTAGTATTGAGAAATTTTAAATATGCTCCGTTTAGGTCACCGATTTTTCTTTCGTAATATATTTCGTATTCTTCGTTGGAATCCGGTATATTTGTGTTTGCAGATTTATCTTTAAAATCCTCAAAAAATTGTATAAACGCAATTAATTCAGGTAAATGCAATTTAAAATATTCGTCAATAACCAGTTTTTTTAAAAAACTCAACGCATGGAACATGTACTCAAACATCAACAAACTTTTCCTGAATTGTTTTACAGCAGAATTAAATATTTTCCAGGCATTAATATAATCAACATCAGAATTTTCAATAGAAGACGACGGTTCAACATTGTAATTATTTTCGTCAAGACTGTCTTCATAGTCTAGACAATTTACTTCATCTGTTGAATGCGTTTTATTTTTAGGATCATTTTTTTTTTTAGACTTTTTTTTAGACTTTTTTGAGTTTAAACGACGTCTTTCCATGGTACAAATATATAAAATAATTTTTGTATAGTTCATAAATTTTAACAACGCATTTCCATACACACATGATAACGAAGTAATAGCCATGTCATATTTTATTAAATAGTTGTATTCGCTTACAATGTTTTTAGATTCTTTAAGGTTTCTGAATAATAAATCACTTACAGAAAAACATTGTTGTTTTAAATATGGGAATCGAACTACCAAGCTGCCAATGTTCTGCCATCCTGTACATTCCAAAAGCGCATTAAGCGTGTTAATTATTGTTTTTTCGTCGTGACAAAAAACATATTTTCGTTCGTTGAAAGCCAAAGTTGAAACCAATAAAGCAATTAAGACATTAGAAAACATTTTCTTATGATAAAGTAAACTGATACGCGTTTTTTTTTTTTTTTTTTGTTAAAGCGTTTTAATAAAACATAATATCCAACCGATAAATGCAAGAGTGAAACTTAGATATTTTTGCAACTTACATAAACTAGACCTAAAAATTAAATTTTCGACAACCGAAAGTTCACATAACGTTTGTCTTATTTGCTATATGATAACAACTGAATCAATATTAAAATGTATACGCAATATTTTTTTTTTCTTTTTAGCACAAAAAAAAAATACGGTTTTGATTTTTCCGCAGTAAAATATTGTATTCTAATTGTTGATTTAAGTTTTACCATAGATACGGTTTCATAATATAATATGAGTTATTATTTTCGCTCTAACGTGTAAAAAGAATATGGCTTTGACTTTATGTTGGGATATATTATTTGTGTGCGCTCTTTTGTAGCTTAAATAAAAGCACACGCATGGTATAGTACCTACACTATATCTTTTCTGAAACCAATTTTTCATATTTATACAGGGTGATTAAAATTGTATTCAACAGTAATAGTTTTTCAACAAGTTTTCTATGTTTTTTTTTTAAACAATATTTTCTCGTTAATAGACATAAGTCAATATGTTTTGAAATAATATATAATATTATTTAGCTAAGTAAATTGATTACTGTATTTTGGTTTATTAATTTTATATTTATATATTCACATTTACCATGGGCTATTACCAAGATTTAGGGTTGATTCAAAGATATTGTAGTTTATAACTACATAAAAGGACAACTTATAATATTATCAGTAATCTATATTTGGCCGCTTTTTAGTTTAAAAATTCAAGTTCCGTTTTAATCAGTAATACAGTACAAATCAACTACAGTTTAAACCACACTAGGATAGTACAACCTAGTACAGTATAAACCAAGTACATCAGTAAATCAGTACAGCTTAAAAAATGTTAACTTTTGAATGTTATTAGGTGAAACTTAACGGACATGTTAAGGCCAAATCATAGAATTTCTATATTTTATTATAAAATTTCTATATTTAATAATATTTCTATTTTTGGTATTACATAAAAAAAACTAATAACATGTCAAGTAGTATGTTAGTATTTGTGTTAATTTCTAATGTAAATTTTTCAGTTTAGTTTTTTTTTGTAAATAGCAGTACTAAGTACTTAGTATTATACTATGCCAATAAACTATAAATAAAAACTCTTGACTGCTCTACAAGCCCAGGCTCATGGGAGACAAATCATTTCTTTATAATGTACCTACACTGTAAAACTGTTATGACAGTTAAGAACAATTTGCTGAAAATGTTGACTGGACTTTAAAAGTAATTATTCAAAACTGTTTATAGACCAGTTAAAATTGTCAGCTAATTATTCATAATTTAAATAAGTAAATTAAATGTATACGTTACTATAATATAAGTTTTAAAAGTTGTTATAGCTCTGGAAAAAAATTTTTAAAATTTAAATCATTTTTGAATATTGTCTAATATTGTAAAAGAACATAAACTAGTGTCTTCAAAAAGATAAACTACAAAATTGCATTTATTAAATGAAAAAATTAGTGTCTTACGTTAAATTGATCACCCTGTACAGACACATACATAATATAATGACGTTTATATACAGGTGTATACCGGGCTTAGCGAGAATGTCGATATGCATATCTATAAAAATATGCAGGCTAATTGCTTACCTATGATCCTGTTAATATCTTAAAAGATATTGGACTTTTTAAAATATATTTTTTTTTAACTATATCAATTAATAGTTCACTTAATTTTTATCTGGACAGACATACATTAATTTATAAATATATAGTTAACATCGTCCCTTATGTGTTAAAACTTTATCAACAACCTTTTTAAAGATAAGGTATATATATATATATATATATATATATATTTCTTTTAATCGTTGAAACAAACTGTAACTTACTGTAAGTTTCAGTTGAGATAATATAAACGTTACAATTTAAACATCTTAAGTTCTTGGGGTTTTAACACATAAGTAATAAGGCAATATTGTTAAACAAATGTAGGCTAACTATATGAACTATGAAAGTACCTATGAAAAACAATTCAAATTTTCTAGTTAATTGATTTATCTTTTTCCAAGACAAGAGTATAAAACTTATAATGCACCACATAGATAGTGTTATGACCAAGATGGGGAGGGGATAAAAGGGGAAGGGGTGTATCTTCCTCTTGTTGGCATATTTGTTTAATGAAACCGTAAGCGGTCGGTTTTTAAGGAGTTTCATATAGGCAATATATAAGAAAAAAGTGGGTTTAATAAGTTTCGACATATTTTCAGGTTGATTTATATAAGCTTCATGGTCTTATTTTTAACGAACCTATACAATCTTCTAGTTAGTTAAGCCATTTTGGTGGTAAAAAATGCTAACGCTGTGTCAAAATTATGAGACTGGTAGGTCCAATTTGAGTTAAGACGACACTTATAATAATCGACACTTTTTAAAAAAAATGTATAATCTCACCGTAATTTTAAGTTGAAAAATATATACATTTTTTTGGGTGTTTTCCTCAATTTCGAAGGGGTAAACTTTTCACATTTTTGGCCCAATAAAATGCTATTGAGGTACGATTTCTGGTCCATAAACTTGCTACGGGAATTAATCTGTTCAACAGTTAAGGAAATGTCATGGGTCAGACACACACACAAAAAAATAACACATCATTGTTGGAAAAATACTTTCATTGCTCCGCATCGAAGCTAAAAAATAATACATTCGTTTATCAATACGGGTTAGCTTACAATACATTACATTCTCGCCGAAGCTAAACATAAATAATATAATAAATACAATATTATACTGATGTCATTCATTATCTACTACACGCGATCAATATTATTAATTATTATCATAGTAGTAAAGAAATACTAAATTTCCTTGCTGTCACTCCATCATTATGCATATCATATTATGATCGATATAATACCGTATGAGAGCTCCTTTATTGTATTATCTCTAAAGAGAGACTTGAGTTCTTAAACTTGATCAGCGGGTACCCTATACATATATGCATATAGAATTTTTTTTCTTTCAATTTTGCTTTTGTCTTTTGCATGATTAAACCATTATTTTTTTTAAATTTTTTTTTTACTAGGGCCTATTTAGAGAGCGTATATGTGTACATGTATATAGTATACGTATACTATATACATGTCCATCGTGATGTATAATATAACAACAGCGACTATTAAAATAATTGTAATTGTATATTCACGCCAATGGTGTTTTTGAAAAAAAAACAATAGGCCCTAAACAGCTATTCATTGTTACGTTAAGTCTATATAGACGCAAGCGTTGGTTTAACGGATCGCAGAAACATATATTATTATTTATAATATATATTATATTATAATATGGTCATCGTGTGGTTAGAAAAACGCGTTGTTTAACCGTATGATAGTAGCTCGCTTTTCCTCAGCCTGTATTCGGTGGGCGTCAACATCCCTCTGAAACACAATATCAGTCTTGTAAATAAATATCTTTTGATATCACCATAAAGAAAATTAAAAAAAGTACAAAAAACCAAGACGGAAGTATTTACAGTGAGCGGGGTCCGTGTTTTTATTTTAAGATGCAGTAGGACGCTAATTGTATTGTAGGAAATTTGAAATGCACAGATGACTTGACGAATTTATAAACTCGAGAAATAATTAGATTTCTACATGAGATATTGTAATACAAAATATAGGTCTAATTTTCATTTTTACCATTATTTAAGTTTCACTCCAAGCCTTAACAAGCATCGAGTATAAACGTTCTGTTATTAAGTTCTCCTAAGATAGCCAGTTAAATTATAACTTTTGGCTGGCGTGTCACCTTATCCCTTAACCCTGACCTCTTATAACTCATCCTTATTTTAAACTATCAGGTTAACCGTGTGAAATGATCAGTTTAAATTAAGAGTGGAGTTAAGTGGGTGGAGAGCACAGTAAAACATATTCATAATTTTTATGTTTCTCTTTGAAGTGGAGGAAGTTTCTTTAGCCCTGCTTATTATTTCTAATGGTTGTTGATTTTACTGTGTTTACCTGAGTATGGTGTCAAATGTGACAGAAACGCCTTTGTCAGTCATTTTTTTGAAAAGCGCCCAACACTCTTTTTCCTTGTCGGATTGCAACAACGGCTGGCCGTCGGCCACGTTAGGGCAAACGGCCATTTCGGCAGCACCGTCAGCCCGCACTTCAACATCGACTATTTCGGTCAGGTTTTGGGCCACTTTCGTTTTCTCAGCAGCGTCTTCATCTTCCCTGGAATCGATATAAAAAAAAGAAGTATATATTTTGTAATATATAATTTAGTAGTTTTTTTTTCATTTTTCCTTTTAAACGTTAGTTGATGATACATTTTAATTTTCCATGTTTGTCAAATGCCAAAAAGAAATCACGACAGAATACTTAAGCTATTTGCGGGTTGGATCCAAAAGTTTCAATGTGTGAATATGTTATTTTTCAGGAAAGCTAATTTAAGTGTATTCGATATTTTTCATCTTATCAAATGATCAAAACATAAAATTTTTTAAATTATACCAGAAGTTATATCTCAACAGTTAATTAAGAATACTCACACAGTACCTTATGGATCCAAGCCCAAATTACTTCTGGGTTTGGGTCAGGAGAGCGGGGGGCGGGGGTAAGTAAAAGTTTACTTTTCCTAGACATAGTCTAATATATACACACAAGACCGTCACGCAAATGTAATGTCTTATGAGCGTGAACACAACGACGAACGGGTATCAATTTGCATTTTATTTGTCAATCGATACAGCGCATACAACAATCTTAATAATAAAACTGTCATACTATTATTATTATTATTATTGTTATTACCTGTACCTACCTACCTACCTACTTATCGGGTAGTTGTTTCGTTTTAGCTTCTGTTTAAAAAGTTTTCGCATACGTGCCTTCGTGTTTGCCCGTAGTAAAAAGTAATAGCGGTGTATATAGAAAACTTTAGGACGGTTTTCAATAAATCGAAATAAATAACGATGCTAATAGGACGTTATATAATGTAGGTTATGTCGTCGTGAGAAGTAAAATATATAATACTTTACTACAATAATAGTTGTAACTTCAATAATAACGTCATCGGTTTGGTATTAGAATAATAATTCCCCAAATAATACCCGGTTGGAGATTAGGTACAACAAAACGATGCACGTTTAACAAATCCAACTTTTCTAGGTTGATTTATGAACGCACGACACGAAAATGTCCAATGCCAGGACATAATATCACTATGGTAATAGTATTCATGTTTCGATACGTTTTATTTTAGAATCTAATAAGCAAATTTGAATTTTATTTAAATAATTAGATTTGTATTACAGGGCACTCCACGTTAAACAATAGGTACACGGTTTATTTTCTACACTTCTGCATTACGTTGCTATTTATTTTTTAAATGGATAAAAACTATTTACTAATTTTTCCATTTTCTCTATTCTTTTTTTCTGAACAAATGGAATCGATCACACAAATCATGTCTTTCTTCACAAATACACACCAGCGCAAGACATTAATCGGCTCAGTAAAAGAAAAAAACCGTAATATTTCTTAGCGGAGTATACATTTGTCATATTGTCCTCTAATTACTACCTCAAAACTTAAGCGTTAATTCTCTAAAATAATTTAGATAGGTCAAGAATTATATATTAGTTGGGAATTACTTATTTTTACTTGGTATTAATTTTTAATAGGAATTATCATAAAATAGATTTGTCGTATTTTTGTGATTAATTAATGGGTAAGTAAAAATATTACAGTTAAAAATATGATACCAACGAAATAAATAATTTTTTAATTATATATATTACATTACAAATAGTAATAAGTATATATATTACATTATATTATATTATAGTTACAGTGCAACAACACACAAATAAGTTCAAGTTTCTTTTTGCCGCTACATGGAATTCGTTGGGTTTGTGTTTAATTTTAACTATATATAATCTTATTTTTTGGTTTAATGGCCGTTCTCAAAAGTTAAGCTTTAAAATAGAGTGATGTTAGTTTAAAATTACTAAAATTATAGACTAAACAGCTTACAGCTATAATAAACTATGTAATGTTCTATACTAGTTAAAAAAAACATTTGCTGAAAAAGTTATTGAATAAATCAAGACTAAAAGAGAAAAAAAAAAGAAAAAACTTAAATTTCAGAAAAATTGAACTTTAAGTTATCTATAAAATATTTTGATTTAACAATTGGTATAATTATTATGCATCTGATACTTTTTTAATACAGTGCCTATTGAATGTAAGTTTAAAATAAGTCTTCCCGTTAAATTCATTTATTTTCTAGAAATACCAGTTGGGTACCAAAAATAAGGCGTAAATACTATAAAAAAATCAATTTATTTTGCGCTTGTATGTATTAAAAAAAATATTCATTTAAAAACAATTTCTTGAAATTTGTACTCGGTCGTTGGCTTTTTCAAAAATGTATGTATAAAAAATATATAATTCACTACAAATTCTGCGATATGTGTGAATGAACTCAAGTTAAACTAATATGTTCACAGCTTTTACGAGTTAATTGAAAATTTGATTAAAATTTAATATGTAATTTTGCCTCGACTCGATAATGTATTTAAATATATCCGTTTAATTTAATATTTAATTCAAAATAAAATTGTAGGTGCACACGCTTTCTTATAGACACACTATTGTGGTATTTTTAATATATTTTTTAGGTAAAGTGGTATTGAAATACAAAAAAAATATTTCCTCATTTTTAAGCAAAAACACACGAATGGAGGAATATCGGCCAAAACAGGATGGGTCAACAATAGGACAGATTCTGGTCGTACATAATATTCATGTTTATGTTTCAATAACTTTTAAAATTGAAGCTTTAACATGAATATGTTTTATGGAGGTCGGCTCAAAATGTTTCCAGTAAGATCAAAATCTGTCCCATTGTTGACCTAAAACGTTTTGGCCCATGAGCCTCCAACTCTCTTATCATATTTCCTGCTATTTGATCACTTTTCCTTATCGCTCATCCTTTTTTATAAACTACCAGGCAAATCGTGTGAATTGATCGGTTAAGATTAATAAGATAGCCCGAATATCGTGCTACGATTCCACGAACGAGTTCACAAAGAGTTTGACGAGCCGTTAAATTCGTCGGGTTTCGTACAGCCTGACGTTAAAATATTATGACATTAAATTTACTTGTTGGCATATACTCGAAAAAAATACTATTTGTTATTAATGTGTACCTCGTCGAGTCGATTGTTCTGGATTTGATCAACGATTTTCCCGTGCGATTGTTGTTCGACGGCTTTTGTTTTTCGATCGACTGCACGGCACTGTCGAATGACTTCTGATGATAACGAATGTTGCTGCTGAACTGAGGAAACGTCACTGAAATTGAATTCAAAGTGTAAAAAACAAACGATCATTATCTGCCGACGAAAACGGAATGGCTACAAGTGTTGGCCAATCATACACAACCGACATTATGGAGACTAACTTAATTGTCGCACGCAAAAGTAGTGTTCCAAAAGGGCAATCGAGAAATTATTCAAAAAGTTTTCGCGTGTAAATTGAAGGTTTAGGAAAAGTTTAGGTGCGCAACGATCGTTACCGGCTGATAACATTAAAATAGTGGTAAATTAACGGCGGATAACATCTTTTTAATTGTCTGCGGCGCTTACTGGATTCTCATACGATGTAATAATATGTATATATTTATGCTAAGCAGCCCCGTGCAAAACTCATAGGACTCAATCTCAATATTAATATACCGGTTTTCGCGGGGACTTGGTCGGTAACGGCAGTGTCCTCGGTGTCGCTGCCGACCGGGCTCAACAGAGACATCATCGTTATGACTTCTGCGTTTTGATTCTTCTTGACAGCACGTCTTGCGTTCGGTTGTTGGCCTTCTGTGTCGATGCTCTTGTGAAAAGCTTTGCTTCGGCAGGACTTTAGTTTCCTGGATTGGAACCTGTGAATTTCCTGTCTTCGAGAGTTCATCGCGTGCAGCGTACCTTGGGCAGAGTTCTGCTGGTGAAGGGGCCTCGTCGAAGGCGCCGACATAGCCCTGGTAAAAACGTGTTGCCTGTCGTTTTGTTTTTTCGAATTTTTGTAAAACCGAACCCTCCTCGCGGCCGCCGATAAGGGTTTCTTCTCCTCGTCGCAAGACTCTTCGCTCTCGGCCACGTTGTTCGGTAACTGCACCTCCAGCGCGGCCCGGCCAGAGTCGTGCCGTTGCGGACCTTCCGCCGGTGTTTTCGGTACTTCTTGACCCGTGATCTCCATCGAAGGGTCCTCGACCACGTTCCTGGCCAAATATATGTTTATGCAAGACTTCGATTTTTCCCGGTCGGTCCACGCTTGCCGCAGTCTTTGCGCGAATTCCTCTTTGGATTCGTGTAGGGTTTCGGCTTTCAGGCAAACCGTGGTCGGGTTCGCCGTCGGTCGTGCACTTTTCTTCTCGGTCTTCACAAGTCTGTTGATCGGACGCGAAATCGCTTCCGAAACACAAATAGTTTCCGTTTCCGTTTTGTTAAAACTCGAATGTTTTTCAGTCCATCCTTTCTTGGCCTTGGTCTTTTTATCGTCCGTTTCTTTGGCACAGCCGGTGGACGCCATATTTCGCGCAGATTCTACGAGTTCTCTATGTAACTTTTAATCTGGCTATCGACATAAATGAGCCTGAAAAAAAAAACAAATATATATTATTATCGAACAGCGGCCAGCTTTCTAATTATTTACATCGCGCACAATTTTATCAGGATGGAACTTTCAAATTTTAGATTTACAAAATAAAAGTAGATTGCACTATTTTTATGCCTTGGAAGAATTCAATAATAATAAATAAATGTTTACCTATATAATAATGGATTATAATAATAATATATTGGACGAAAACAAATTATTTAAACACAAAACTGAACGAAATCATTGATAAAAAATTCTAGTTTATGTAATCATTTTTTCATTCAATTATGACATAAATAATTTAAAAATTGGAAAATATTTTTTTTGTGAAAATTCGAATTTTGGGAGAGCCAAAATATACACAGAACATACAATTTTAAAATCAGTTTATTAACCAGGTGCGATTGAAGAAAATTAATGATTCAAAAATATTTAAAACTAATAAAATATTGTTAAAGAAATTTGCTCATAAATACATTTTGTTTGTTATGAGCGCGGCGCCGAGCGAGAAAATATTTTATCGACCATCGATGTGATTTATGATCATAATAGTTTTTAAACTTTTTTAACAATTTTCTAAATAAAAACTTAAGATAATTATTGAAATTTTGTAACCTTTCGTATTAATAGTATTCGTGCACGATGACCACAATGTACTAAGTTTTTAATTTATATCCCTAAATTTAGCTTCAAAATAAATACTTTTTTACTTTTAGTAGTTTTTTTTATCGATTTTTCGCCAAAAAAAATGATCGGTAGTCACAATTTATATTTTTTCATTACGTTAAATATATATTAGACGGTAGACCTATATTCTGTATAATTTTCAGCTCTTAAGTTCTAAAATTTTAACTAGAAAACAAAACAAAAATTATTCACAGAGGTGTTGATCGGGTAAATCGGTCCAGTAAAAAAAAATGTACGTTTTGGAAATCAAATACAAAGTTAAAACTTTTTGTCACTATTCAATACAATTGAAACACATCAAACGTTTGTTGATTCGTACCGCATTAAATATAAAACTGGACGATTCGTAACATGTTTTTACAATTTGTTAGTTTTTCTAGAAATTGTATTTAACAATTTTATTATTATGCATACATTCTACTATTTACTGCAATTAAGTAATGTACACTTTTCTTATGTTACTGGGCCTTGGCCTGTATTATATTATTAAAATAAAAATAAAATAAAACAATAAATTATTGTGCAAGATAAATTAGAAGATATAGTTTTTTTTTGAACCGATAATGTATTACTTTTTTCGCTTAGAATATTTTAAATGTTTACTTACTATATTTAAAAAAAAAAACATAAACATTCACAACTTTTGTTAGTAACACAAATTATTATGAACGTTCACATGTTTGAACATACCCGGATAAACATTCTAGCCCGACTGTGACTAAAAACACACGTCTTGCAAGAGTGTTTCGATTTGTTTTATTTATTTATTTTTTTTTTTTTACACGAACTTCTCATAGTTTATTGATCTTGAGAAATTATTGTTTTCATTGTATTTTCATGCGTTTTTGCCGGTGCGTAATGGCTTTGTTTAGATGCGTCGCCAAGACGACATGTCGTCGACCAACTGTTTACATTCTCAAAATATGTTAATGTACCCCAAGTAACCATAAACGTTTTTGTATTTCCCCGCACGTCTGAAGTGGTAGGTATCGGCAAAGTTAATAATTGTTTATTGAATAAACGATTCAATAAAGAGAAGAAAAAAAAAACCTAAATCGTTGTTGAAAACGCAAAAAGCTGTTTTTGTCTGACTTTTAGGTACTTTCCGCAGTATGTTTACTATCATTAACGATGTTGACCGTGTACCTAGTAATTTGTAATATATTACCTGTCAATTTAGATCATGTAAGGAATGTTGTACAATAATAAAAAATAGATATACACTTTACGATATAAGAAAACAAGTTTTTCGGCCGAATGGTTTTTGAACATAGATTATTATTGCTAGAAATTCAACGATTCAAAGTATTTAAATACTTTGTTAAAATAGGTACTATGGAATTTGTAGTTTTCATTTAATTTTAATGAGTTGTAATAAAAATACATTTTAATGTAAAAAAAACCCTAATTTTTGTACAAAATATTACTGCTTAAATTATTCCATTTGAAAGCATTTAAAAAATATCATAGTTTATCCATTTACAATCACAGTATGATTAAGTATACTGCCTATGAAAACTACAGTATACACTATACACCAATTTGGATATGTGCAACTAAATTCACTTCGTGAATTGCACCTGAACTGTTTTTACAAAATGATTTCAACATAAAAGGTTGTCTAACCGAGTGACACTATAATAAGGTTATCAGCACTGTAACCACGCCTACTCAAATTCATTGTATTTTCATTATAATAGAACAGAAATAGGCAGAGTTTTACCATAATACATTATGATTATGAGCCAGTTACCTACCCATGGTTAAGTAAATTATTTATTTCCCGTGTACATTATTCGTTTGGATTTTTTATTTTCATTTAGTTAATCTGACAAAGCTGCTGTAATTCACCGATTTAACACGACTGCCTCCAAATCGGGTCATTACTTATTAACAATAAAAAATTACTCAAATTAATAATAACTATTTAAAGTTTTAAATAATAAACTGATTCGAATAGTTCACCATCTAAAAAATGTAACTTTATATTAAATAAAATATTTAACGAGCTAAATTTAACTCATTATTTGTTATAAAAAAAAAATCAATTTAATTTGAATAAGGTGAGATTGCAAGTAACGCTTAATATTTTAGGTAGTTCATATCAGCTATAATATAGTTTGTAAATTCATAATTTTTGTTTGCTCAAACCAAAATATTCAATAAATACACAAAATATGCTATCTAAGAATAAATAAATAGTATAACATCACGAGAATGTAAACAAACAGCGAAAATATTGTTAGATTTTCAAAAAAGTCAATTTCTGGCTGCTTTTCTGACTTAACCTTTGTACTTACATACAAATACATGACAAGCAAAATAATAGATAATTATTTTAAATTAATTAAATACGAAGGGTTTGGGGTGTTCAACCCCTTGTAAAAATTTAGCAGAAGGGTGGGTAGGTATCTTTTGCATGTTAGTTAGGGGACTTAGTAAAATATTTTTTATCAGTTCTAGTACCTATTAAGATATGATTTGGTTTGTCTAAATAAACCGTAGATTAAAAAATATTTTAAGCTGATGCGACATATATTTTTAGTCATTATGTTTAATATTATATTGATTTCAGACATCATAAAACATTTAATATTATATTATAATTTTGTTATTACTTTTTACCTATAGGTATACCTATGTTGTGTTTATAAATAATAATAATGATTAGGTATTATTTTAATTTTTAGCGATAAATAATCGATAGAGCAATTAAACAACTTTAAACAAAATATTTATCAATACACGTTTATACTTAATTTAACAATTTTTTTAAATGTTTATATAATGATGCAATGTAGTAAAACAAAGATGTTATATTTTATCAATTAATCATTTTTACCTTAGAAATTCAAACTGGCGCATTCCATCAATACAGTCAATCTCGGCGGTACGACCGACGGCAGGAGGTAAGCCGAGAAAATCATGGCAGAAAAAAAAACTAATCAATGTAATTTAAATTCCAATTCAAAGGTCGTAGCCGTGTAATAATGCATAATATAAATATTTTTTCCATTGCTTACAAATGATTTTTGCATTTTTACTCAATCGATAGCGAACATGTCGCTTGATTTTTAATTTTGAAAATGTTGAAACAAACATTTATTTTCCTCCATGACTAGAGTGATAACGTTATCGCGTATTTTCTTGCTCGCTCCCCCGCCCCTCACCCGCTGGCATGTTTAGTGTTATTAAATAGTAAATTGACTATCTAGATGTGCTTTTTTTTTTTTTTGAACAAAATTTGACGAAAATTTAGCATAATGTAATGACGATTATTAATATACTTAAAATTGTATACGAAAAAGTTTTCATAATACCATTAACGACTTTTTTTACCGAAATGACTAGGATTTTGAATAGTTTGACAATATCGTAATAAAATATTACAAAAGGTTAGTTAGTTAGTAGTCGTTTTATGTAGTTTTTTATATTTGTATCGACAAGAACAGCAACATATTATTATTATAAACTTCTTTTCGTTCATTATTTACAGATTACATATTCGTGTAATAAATGAACAGGACGTACGTAGCCATTCTGATTAAACGACAATTATTAAAATGATTGAATACTCCGACCAAGAGTTCGAAAAAAAGCTAATGCTTCTGAAAGACACTCAAGAAGCTATACAAACGTTGTCTACGTGGTGTCTGAAACGACATGAACATCACAAAAGTATCATTTCTAATTGGCTGAAAGCGATAAGAAAAGTGAAAATCGAAAAACGATTGACTCTGTTCTATTTGGCCAATGATGTGATCCAGTATAGTAAAAAAAAGAACTACAAGTTTGTTGACGGTTGGGCGACGGTCATTCAAAAAGCCATTCCATACGTCAGGTGAGTTTGTCGTCGCCAAAAGTATTAGCGGTCATTACACTAAGGACCATCTTCGTCTCTTGACCATGATGAATTTATTTTATTTCAGAGATGAAAAAATACAAAAGAAAATAACGAGAATTATCAACATATGGAAAGAACGAGGAGTGTACGACGATACTTACTTGGCCGATCTGACCGGTTTGTTAACTACTCCGATTCAAAAACTCAAACTAGCCGATCCCGTACAAGAATTTCAAGTAAGAATGCGCTACATGCGGATTTTTGTAAATAATTAAAAAGTGGATTATAAAAAAAAAAACTTTGAATGCCAATTTAAAATACTCAATTTTGTATGCCGACAATTATGTTGTCGACCGAAGTGATACGTTTTATAATATCTCAATTGAAGATAAAATATTTATTCAAGACTGATTTATTTTCATCTTTTAAAGTTTAAACCAACTTTTTCAACTAATTTTAAGGTCGATGAAAAACTGAGTCGGTTTTTAACTTCCAACTTAAGAAAGATTTTATATTTTCTGTGTTATTATTTAAGATTCAACCTTTAGCCGTTAAAATACGGTCGTGTGTTAAATTGGAGCAATTAACCGACCTCAAAATGAAAACGTTGAAGGAGACTAATTTACCGTTGACAAACAACGAATCTATACAAAACATGTTGAAAGGTAAAAATAGTATAAAAATATGTCTATATTTTTTAATAGCTTTATGATAAAACCAAAAAAAAAAAGTGACATATTATTTGGTCGTTTTGCAAATTATTATCATACACTTAAACAACTACTTTTTAAGAGTAAATAGTCTTTTGTTTATTTGTTTGCTATATAAATAATTTTCAGATTGAAATTGCGATTGTTTTAAAAAATGTGTTAGCTTACAATACTTTACAATTAATGTAATAATCCTAAAATCACGTTTTTGGAGTTTTTGATGTTGCAAATATTACTGTGGCAATATGGAATTGCGTTTGTAATTTTTTGTAATTTGTTTCATTATTATTATTTTTTTTTAATTTTAATTTTAGATCGTAACAGAAGTCATGAATTTCTCAACGAGTTAAATGACGGAATAGTAAAAATCGAAAGCTATATTAAATGTTTGAAAAAGGAAACAATCGATCGTGCTCAGCTAATAGACGCCCTGGAAGTGGCGACGTCTTATTACGACGAGCAAAACGAAGAAGTCAAAACTGTAGCTCAAGTAAATATAATATAATCCAATATTGTCATTTTTGTTTGTGCTAAAAGGTTTTCATCGTACAATTTTTATTTTAGGCTTATTTCAACTACAGCAAACGAGTGAGACAATTGTTGTCCAAATTGGAAACGCTCATAAATTCGTTGCCCACTGACAGTCCAATGCCATCACCTGACATAAACGCGCCGTCTCCGTCGTCCTCTTCAGTGTCCATCGAAGACATCAACATGCCAAACTTTAACATTGAAAATATCTCCAACGCGTCTGATTTCTTGATTAATAATTCTTCGTCTATTGAAAACAACGATAACGAAATTTACGTACCGACCATCAATTCCGACAGTATCAAGTCGTATGTTCCGTCTGAAACATATAATAATGTTCAAGGTACGTTTTGTTGTTGTGATCATGCTGTACACAATCTAATTGTTGTTCGTATATTCACCTAGACGTTTATGATCCGGCCGCCATGAATTTTCCAGTTATGGAAAACAAAGACTTACAAGATGGCAGCCAATTCACTTACGATGCTCCGTCACCACCTCCCGACGAGACGTTTGCGTTCCCGTCTTTTGCTGAGTCTACAAATCTTGGATACAGCAATCGAGTATTTTATTCAAATTTTATTAGTAGTTTTTTTACCATTGAATACCCAAATTTGTGTTTAGCAGCCAGACGACCAAACTATTAAGAAAAGCGCGTACGCCATGGACAACTACCACGAAGCTTACGTACCTACGCCAATATCTAGTCAAGCGTATATGAACACCGAGTACAACAATATGGTGTCTGACAACAATCTATCTTTGGTCGCCAACGATAAAACTATGCCGCTTAGGCAAGATCAAACTTTGGGTAAATATGCGATTGACCATGATTGCTCTGTATAATAAATACATTTGGGTGGTCGTTATTTTTTAAGTTTCAAATTTTGATGCAGAGACCCCTCCCAAATTTGTTCTTACATATTTAAAAATAATGGTAGTAAAATTTGGTTATGATTAATCATCCCTAAGTGCCCGAAAGGGTTACATTTAAACTAATAATGTATGCACCATTATTGTTTCATTTTTGTTAGTTTCCATATTTTCATCAATTAATTATAAGACTAAAATTCTTAAGTAAAATGTATTTAAAATTACATTTTTAGAAGAAAGGTTTTTTGTAAATATATTACTAAATCAACCATTTAGTTTTTATAGATGAATTTATGTAATTTTAATAATAATAGCATATTTGCTGGTCAGTTGGAATAAAAAAACAATAGTAATAAAAATGACAAAACATATTTTAAATTTATTATGTGTTTTCTACACATTTATCGTAGCAAGTAGAATAGTTTTTGAGATGAATAGAAAAAACTGAAAAACTACACCCAAGTTCAAATGTTCAACCTTTTGGGGCACATCTTAGGGTGGGTCAATCGTAACTAAATCCTACACACATTATTGTTATATGTCTAAAAACAAATTAGAGGGTTTCTCCTAAAATATTTTGAGGAAAAATTGTAGCTATATTACAGGACCACCTATGTATATTTATATATATTTTTTTTTAACTTTAATGTTTTAATTTTATGAAATCGCTAATAGTCATAAACGGATTAAAAGTTCATTGACTTGAACCTTTTTAATATCTTTGGTAATAATTTTTTTTTTAATGCTAAACAGGACTTGTCATATCGTCTGACCATGAAACATGGCCGGTAATGACATCGAAGTTTACAAGTTGGGACACATCTGTGCAAAACAGCTGGTCGTCACAGGACACTCCGGCATCACCACCTTATCACGAGAAGGTCTCTTACCACGACACTCCTATAATCAGTAAAACTAGTGGTGGACCCATTGCCGACCATTGCGTACAAGTGTCCAAAATGACGGACAGAGACGATAGAATTTTACCATCTAACATGATAAATGAAAACGCAGATATCGATCATAGGAATTTGATAAGCCTGACCAATTCTCCGTACATGAGCTCGCCAGTTGTATCTACAGACGTCGATTATAGAACGCTGCCTGGCATACCCATGCCGCCATCGCCTCCGGCTATGTTGATGGCCGCCGTCAACAAGCCTCCAAAAGACAATGTGGAGAGTGTCGATATGGACTTGAGCGACGACGACGACAGGCCGAAGGCGAATCACGAACAAACGACAAATCCTATGATTTTACCTCCTCCACCACCGCCGCCGCCAATGGTATTCGATTTCGAAACCCAACTGGCCGACGTGTCCAAGCAATGGGAACAAACGAGTCAGCAGCAGTGGACCAACGAAACGGCAAATTACAATGATGGTCAAACGTGGAACGTAGAACCGGTAGGGGTGGACCAGTGGAAACCACAGAACCAGTGGAAACAATCGGAGCAGCAATCCGGTGATTCAATTGGTTATAATCAAAAACAACCTGCGCACAACCAGTGGGAACAACAACCGGAAAACCAATGGCAGTCGCAAACCAATCATAGTAGAGATCAGCCGAGAAACGATTTCCGACCGAAATGGAATAGAGGGAATGGCAATAATAGTTGGCCGAGAGGGCCTAGAAATTTCTCTCAACGTTCCAGAACCGGCGGACGATGGAACCACGGGCCGAGATTCGGGCCTAGAAATCAACAACCTTGGTGAACGACTACACGAGGTTGGTTAAATAAAAAAAAAAATTTTTAGACTGAGGTGAGAGTATATATGTATATTTTTGTAATAATTTAATAATGATAAGATTTTCTGTTGTTTTTTTAATCAAGAGACCGCAAATGTAAGTTTATTAAAAATTAATTTGTTTTATTTTATTGTTATGTATACTAATAATGTAAGATAATTATTAACTAACAAACAAAAAAAAAAAATGCATCGTTTATACCACATAATGTGAAAAGAGAATTTTTTTTTTATTATTAAAAATAGTATATAATATTTATATTTATAAAACGTCAATGATTCCGACTTTGAATCTCACAAATGCAAATCATGTGTTATAGTTATTTGATTTTTCTCGTTTGAATTTATCGAGAAGATTGAACTATTTTTTTTGAAATTGTTGCAAATTTGTTTACTTAAATTATGCACTATTTTCGTAGTAATAAAAATGAAATCGAACACACCTTTATGAATCGGAAGTACAAAATACCAAAAATACCTAATAAGTCTAATTCGGTTTAGAAAACATATTTGATTTTGTAGCGATTAAACAATTTTTTTTTAAATAATAATATCAATCGTGTACACGTTTTGGAATACTGAGATTCATATTATATATGTTTATAACTAATTGATTAATGTCGTATCGATGGTTTGACCTTAATAACATGAGGTTACATTCGCTGTACAATTTCAATGTATATTTATCACCAACTGAGATAATATTTTGCGTTTCCTGATACAATTATACTAGCCTGTTTGTTTTTATAGTATATTTAAAAAATGAATTTATTTGCATGTATTTTTTATTTGGTATTTAGTTAAGTCGAAATAGTAATATAAATTATATATTTATTGTTTTTAGAAAACATGTTTTTATTGTCGTTTTTTAATGATTATTATCTTGAGTACAAATTGGTTTAATAAAATATAATATGTATTATAGATACGTTAGGTAATGTCTTACGATAAAAAAAAAATTATCTATTCCAACACCGGCTTTGGACTGATTATAATATTTTGCTATTATGGCCGTTCGGTTAATAGATTATTATATGTTGTCGCATTAACCTATTTTTTAAAATAAGCTTTTTTATGAAGAAAAAGAAAATAATATACAACAACATTATAATTATCAAATGTTTTCTGTATTGAACTTATTTTGTTTTCATTTAAAAAAAGAATAACACCATAGAATGAGCGGCTAGTACTTGTATTTACTTATTTATTGAATGCGATAAATTCATAAACAATTTTTTTTGATTGGTCGCACTTGTAGTTGTCGACAAATTTCTCAATAAAAAAACACATTATAAGTAAAATTATATAAGCCGTCATTAATGTATAATATATGGTCAATAATTAATTTTATTCATTAGAAGGAATACTGTTAATTTTTTTTTTTTGTATTCAAGCAATAAACAAAAGATAAGTAATTACTTTATATTCTCATAATGAGCTGTTTAAATTCAAACAGTTACAAACAAATCAAATAATTATTATTAAGTTGCAAAATGATTGACGTAGAATGTACTCTCATGGTATGAACAAACTAATTACAAATAAGTAAATCAAGTACAGGGTTATACCTATATGTTATCTATTCTCTTTACAATATTGTTTACCATCATAATCAAAATGTACAAAATAAAGTTCTAAAAAGAAATACTCCAACAATAACATAATATTCAATACCAAAACGAATTCCAAGTAACCTAACCGAGCAAATTATTCATTGGAAAATAAATATATTTACTATATATTTAACCATAAGTTTGCTTAACAGTTTTTTCTAGATATATTTACTTATTTGAGGAAAAATCCAATACTTATATATTATAATAAATGTTTATTTTAACAATAAAAAAACAATATATTTTCGAAATTTAATTTGCAAATCAAATGCTTTGTTTGATTATAGTTTTTGTGCAATGTAGTAATTTGGTTAAATTTGATCTGAAATAATTGTTTGCTTGATTATATGAAATAATAGCTGTTAATAATTAAAAATGAAATCTTTTCCTTTGCCTGTTTCCATTTATTGAAAAGTGAGGGCGATTTAAATTAAAGTATAATCTATACATTTTTAAGGCATTTCATAATAAATTTACCTAACATTATATAGAAATAACAACATAAGACGCACTTGTGGTTATATATAGAAAAGAAATATTGCATTCTTTTATTTCTTTACTTTACATTATTTTTTACCGGCATGATTTATCTTTTTTTTTTGAACTGTCAAAATTTAAAAAATTAACCGCTGTTAAAATATAAATCGAAGTCGTTTAAAAATCGTTTTTGAATTAGCTGTACATTAAAAGTTGGATTTTTTTTTGTACAAGGATTGAAATAATCAATTTTTGAGTTTTTTTTTCCCAGAATCTGAATCTTATTTCGAAATTTATCATCGAAAACTATGTTTCGTAGTATTTTTTACTGTGCTTTGTGCGTTTAAATAATTTTCTTATTGTTTTTACAACGATGTGCTTTTATATTTTTGTCTTTGGATGTATCTTCTAAACCTCTGAACCGATTCCTTCTTGAAGCAAGTCTGTAGATCAGAAATCGTACGTACTTTGTTTGGCCACCATTATAAAAAGTTCACTTCTCCCCTTTAAAGTCGCGAAAAAAATCTACTTAAAACTACAGCGCTCTATGACTTTTTGAAAATAGTTGCATTATTTCCAAATTTGTATGAAATGTTTTTTTAGATATGGTTCCATCGTTGGGCACGTTTTTATCCAGGAGAGGTGAAATATTTTTTTTTAATTTCTCTATTTCAAACAAAGTTTCTGGAAATTAGCCTGAAGGTAGATCTAGAGTAGGGCGTTAAGTTATAATACTTAGTCATATTCTTTTTTTTAAACCCTAAAAGAGCGGGAAAATTACTGTAATTGATTCCATTGCGTTATTTAATTATTTATAGATAGAAATTTTGAAATTACACTTTCAGTTTGATTACCCGACGTTTATTGTTTGCCTCCAGATAGTAGGCGTACGCGGTAGTGAGGGGATTCGCTAAGGGGGTAAATCGCCTCCTATCGCCCATGTATTATAAAGTACATTAATAATTGGAAAGCCAGTGAGATTTAAAGTATTAATTTAATGTGGATTTCTTAGGTTTTAAAAGTCATCTAACATTTTACTTACTGGCCTGACGACTTTGGTTTTTAACTGTTGAACACTAACATTTTTCTTTCTTCAAAAGTCATCTTAAATTAAACTCAAAATATAAATATTGTATATTTTTTCATTTCAATGGACCGAATATTAAAAACCCAAAGTACATAATATATATATATATATATATATATATATATATATTGTGTAATATCTGTTTTTTGAACTTGTCCACACAGTTTCTGAATATTATCATCTTTAAGTGGTCGTAGCACGTGTAATAACTATAATTTCATAAATCTTCTTCAAATTAATAAAAAACACCACTGTTTTGTGGTATTTTAGCACGCTTAGTGCGTTCAAATTATACTACTAAATTGTCTATGAAAATTATTATTTAACATATTAGTGTTTATTTTTGTTTTACAAGTACTATTACATTTTACAACTAACGACATAAATAAAAATACACGTTTAATGTAGGTATACATAATGTTACATACTTAAAATAACATAGCAATGTGAATGATATTATTATTAATTAATAACGTCAGTTTTGACAATCATTACTTGAAAACCAGTTACATTCGAGACGTCCCGTCGTTCCTAATAAATCCGTTTGATTTGCAGGTCGGATGCACAGTAATAGAATTTAATGTACATTTTTTTACTCGTAGAATTTTCGTTTCATATTCCTCTTAGCCTTGTCGGTTGTCGTTTGTACGCTAATATACTGCAATAGAAATAAATGGCGTTTGGACGAATGTTCTTTGAAAACATATCAATTGTGTTGTGAATAATAATATATACTAATAAAAATAAACTTGTTAAACTTTAACCTTGGACTATGATTACGAAAAACTACCAGGTATAGAGCGATAAAAAAAAATTAAAACCCATCGTTTATTGTGTTCCTCTGTACATAACCTTTGTGTTATGTTGTTCGAAGTCCTCGTTTTGGTCCGGATAACAATTTTATAATGTTAGTCTTCAGTTGTGGTTTGTAAACGGTTGTAATATGTTGTGCGCCAAATCGGTCAGTGCGCTATTTAGCCTGTTGGCTATTGCACAAGTGTCACAAGCGTTCAAAACTGTGTGCTATTATGATGGCAAGTCTTTATGGCGTAAAGGTAAAATTAAAAAAAAAACTCATTTTTAAGACAAATTTTATCACAAATATTGCGCCTGATACAAACCGACTTTATTTTGTTTTTTACGACCTTGTTCTTTTGTTTTGGCGTCTTCGAAATTCAACAAAAAAACAATTCGACGGTTTTTTTGAGAAATATGACAAGTCAAATATTTTTCAGGAACTATTCAAAACCTTTCAATAAATAAATAAAAATAAAAATGTAATTTTCAATAAGTCGCTGCGGTCTACTTAGGACGGTTCGATTTCATTTCTACAAAAATATACCAATACTTAGGCCACTTTACTCTAGGATATGTTGAAAGCGCATTTTTTTGGTTTTTTTTTATGTAAATAATTGCGTTTTATTAATTTGATTAAAACATCATTTTTTTCTAATGAGGATCGTTTTCTAACGTAAACCAGTAGGAAGGCCAATGAATTCTTATCTATTTACTGGTTAAATTGAAATTGGACCGGCCAAAGTCTCACTGTTTCATCACGGCGAGACCATGTTTTGCAACCCAAATGGCTTTTGCACTTGATTAAAATTTATTAAAACCACTTTTTTCTTAAAAATTTAACTGTATAAAACTCTTTAAGAATCGTTCGTTTTTAAAACCCTTAATGTTTATTAAACTTCTATTTTTTAAATAAAATATGTTGTTTTTATTGTCTCAAAATAATTTTAATTTTAAATATTTCACTAATTAAAAGTGGCTGTGATTTTTTCCCAAGGGTTCGTTTATTTGATTACAGCTGAAAACTATTATTTATCAATAATTTTCCGGTTCTCAAGTAATTAACTTCGACTACTCGTTAAAAATGAATTGTTTTTTTGCTCATAAGTTTCAATTTTTTTTTAAAGAGTATCAAATTTAAGTGATATCGAATAATTCTGTTCTCAGATTTTGGACTGCGCGTTTTGCATACACCTAAGATTTATTTTCCGTGTTGTGAAGTATTAATTGTATACTTGAAATTGGTATCTAAAAATAAATTTATATATTTTAAATATGTTTTTGCAGTATTTGCATTTTGATGTAACGCGAATTTTAATTTATACGGTAATTGTATATTGTATTAAATTATTGACTTTATTATAATTATTTATGATGTTATAACTTATCATAATATTTCATGTATTTTTTTATTTGTTTGTTTTATTCAATTACATTTGTTTCGCATTAGTATTTAAATGTTTATTTCACATCGTGTTGGACAAATCGGTTATTTCTCTGTACAATTTTGCAATTGCACTTATCGCCAATTTAACTCTATTTTAGTTGCAAAAAAAAAATTGTACTCAGTGTTATTATTATGATAATTTTTCCCAGTTGGGGTCAACCATACTATTCAATGGATTACAATTTCAATAAGAACAAAACCGAAAATTATATAAAATCATAAGAAGATTTGGATTTTTATGTTGTTTACTTTGAGTGTTTGTCCCTAACAACAGTTACATTTTGATATTGTTTAAAAAACCGCCTGTCCTTACCGAGTGTAGCTTGTCGACCTTGTATTCAAAACTCAGGTCGACATAATAGCCTTCTGTCTTAGAATGGCATTTATTGCTACTAAAATTAAAACAAAATCTACATGAACTCGTACGGTTGGTTATATGTACAAACAATAGTTATGGAAATAATAATATGATTTAGTGAAAATATTAAATAATCGAAAACCGGTTTTTTAGTAGCTTGTTAGTGTATTTTAATAAAATAAAACAATTCCCATTAAGCGTCGTTGCCAATGAAATATTAACTCTCGATTTCAGCGAAAAAACCAAATTAAACACTGACAAGTCAACAATGTTAGCAATTAGCATTACTATAAAGTGCAAGTTTAATTAATATAAAATGCGCTATTGAATTTCCGCTGATTTTGTTATCTTTTTTTTTTTATACCGACCATTTACATACGTTGTGTAATTTAAAAAAATAGCATATTATTATAATGATGATTAGTGTGATAAATAAAATATACACTCAGGTTAAGCCGTCAACAAAATTAATATATACCTATAATAGTGTTTAGAACATTCCTTTTAAAATGTAAAGTACGAAACACATTTATTATTCATGAATAATAAATGTATTCATTAATGAAATAAATACAAATTAATAATAAAACAAGATTGAGCGGATTATTGATATTTTAGAGCTAAATATTTTTGAAATCCTTTTCCTTTACCATATTTTCATTCCAATTATAAAAGTTATTAAAAAAAAAATATAAAAAACAAGAAGATCGAACAATTTTTTTTTTATGTTTAAAATTTTAAAGATGTTTTACAAATATTTTTAGCTTCGGTGCGATAGCAGAGAAGATATTTTTTTTATACGTTCTTAGATTTAAATAAGGTTCCATGTGAATTATGTACCTATAAAAATGTATTTTTTCAATATTTTTCAAGTCATAATAATATAAAAAAAGTTCTAAGGATTAGACTTACAACAATCCCAAGCATCTTCTATAAGTTTAAGTTCCCTTTCTAACCCTTTCCACTTTCTCAGTTTTATACTTTTAGAATTATTTGACAAATTAAAAACCTTTTGTTTTAGTGAATATTTTTAAGATTTTTTTTATATGTATTGCACCCTACTGTTTCACTTAAATTCATTAAAAAAAATCTCTAAAAATATTTTATAGAATCAAAAGTTGTTTAATTTGTCAAATCTTTGTGGGACACCTGTATGCATACGGCTATAATTGTGGAAAATTATTATTTTTTACAAAAGAAAAAAAGTAATATTAACTAATTAATTTGTATGTGTTTTTCTGTAGACGTGGTCAAAGTGACCGTCGAAGAGTTAAAGCCTGCCGTGAGCTTTTGTACGCATCTCGTTTACGGCTATGTCGGCATTGACGATGACAAGTACAACGTTAAATCGCTGGACCCTAAATTGGACTTGCCAGAGAGCAAAGACGTGAAAGGAGGAAAGGGCAATTTCAAAGCTATCACATCTTTGAAAAAGGCCTATCCCGGTTTGACGGTTTTGCTGTCGGTCGGTGGAATGGCCGACACCGACGACCCGGACAAGTATTTGGAAGTCGTGAGTTGAACATTGTCGGGTCTCTTCAACGTTCGACATTTGATTTGTATAATTTTTTTTTATATAGTTGGAAAAAGAAAAAAGGAGAACCAGTTTCGCGTCCACGATTTCGGCAATGGCAAAAGAAAATGGATTTGACGGCGTTGACTTGGCCTGGCAATTCCCAATAGTGAACGAGAAAAAGGAAAAGAACACTTGGGGTAAGCGGTGTTTTCTACACGATTGATGTGCGACACAAATAGTAGGGGATGGAAGGAAATAAGTACAAATAATTAATCACAACACTATCTACTTTCAGGTTCTTTCATCCACAAGGTGGCCAAAACTGTGGGAATCACCAGCAAAGATACAAAAGAAGCCGAGCACAAGGAACAGTTCACAGCTTTGGTCCGCGAAGTCAAAGGAGTTTTAAACGCTAACAGCTGCCCCTACTTGTCGGTGTCTATTCTGCCTCATGTAAATTCCTCCGGTAAGCACAAGTAAATGTTATTGACCAACCAGACGAGATTGGCCATTGGGCTAATTGCGCAAGATTGTACACCGTGCACAATCATCGAGTTCGATTAGATAAAAATAAGTTGTTTTCTTATGTTGGTGTGTGTATGTGTGATTTTGATTGGGTCCAAAGTCGAAATCATTGTTGGTAATTGTGAGATTATAACGTATATACCTATACTTCGAATTTTCCCAAACTAGATGTATTTTTTTTTAAACTCATTTTGATAAGTCAGCGGTCTTATTATCTGGTTTCTTCGTATATTTCCAAATGGTTGCTTAAAAAATAAACGCATTGCTCAAATTACGAACAAGTTTATTGAAGCCAATAATAAATTTCATTACTTCTACGCCATTATTATGCCAGTGTTGTTAATTATTACCTAAATGTTTTGTGGAGTATCCGAATGGAAATTAGGTTGCGGTTCAGACGAGATAAGTAACTCCGACATCGGCTAATAAAATAATATTCATACAGATTAGAATTCAGTTCATATTAGTGTTTTTAGGTCAACTCGGGTGATCAGTTTTCTTTTAAAACAATATTATGACAATAATTGTTGTCTAGACTGATGATAAAAAATTCACATCGGTTTGAAATTTATCAATTTTTCATTGTCAATCATCATCATTCATACCGATACATTGTCAGTTCTGATTGTTAATCCATTGTCTCTGAATCAGTAAGTCGTCGTTGTTTATATGATTTGCACTTTTAATTGCAGTGTACTTTGACTTCCCCGGACTCCAGAAGTATGTGGACCATTTCAATTTGATGATTTACGATTTCCGCACTCCCGACCGTGTGCCCAAATTGGCCGACTACGCTGCTCCCATGCAATTCGTGTACGCCGATCGGTTGAACTGGCAAAACGTGGAATACCAAGTCAACAAAGCCATCGCCCTGAAAGTTGACAGGTCCAAGTTGGTGTTGGGTGTGTCCACCTACGGGCGTACCTGGAAATTGGACAAGGACAGTGGGAAATCCGGTGCGCCTCCGGTGACAGCCGACGGTCCCGGCCAAGAAGGGACCTACACGAAGACCGAAGGTCTGTTGGCTTACTACGAAATTTGCCCTCATTTAGTCGAAAGCACCTCCGCCACCACATCGTTGACGCTCTACAGGTAATTAATGTTATATTAATTGGATACGGGTCCAAGTCACAGCGGCGCAAGTCCCCCGCTATTGCGGAAACAACCGAGTTACCCGAGAATTACGGATTTTCCATCCATCCATCTTCCGTCCTCTTTGTCAATCCTTTTTGTGACAAAAGCGTCACGCAATCAAAAAAACAACACACACACAAACATTTTTGACAAACCCCCACAGCCATAACTTCTGTTACTCCACTTTTGACACTCGTATGTACACCTTCTTACATATCCTCTATCAAACCGATATAGGGTCTCATTAACGCCCACCTGAAAACCTATTTCGGCACTATGTCAATGACTCGATACTTATCTATTGTCGCATTGGATTTCAGACGCGTACCCGACCCTAACAAACGTTTGGGTACTTACGCGTTCCGATTGCCCAAAGACGACGTCAAGGGCATTTGGATAAGTTTTGAAGAACCCGAAACGATCAAGCAAAAAGCCACGTACGTCAAACAAAACAACTTGGGAGGTATTGCTTTGGTGGATTTGTCGATGGACGACGCCAGAGGTCTTTGTGACTCGCAGAAGTATCCTCTCTTGAAAGCAGTGAGAAACGTGTTGTAATACACACGATAACGTGTCATCAACGTTAATATTAACGATTATATTTTATGACTACTTATTTAATGATTATTAAGTTATTCGAAGTAGAATTCTATTTTGAAACATAACAATACTATGCATATTATTTACATAACAAAAAATGTTACCTATTTGTACTTGGCAAGTTTTGCAGACCAAGAAATATACGACTATAAAAATTGAATATGCGATATTTAACACAATAGACCAGCTGTGAAAAGAATCTCACTAGAATATTGTGCCATCCCTTCGGGCTTGTCGACCCAAAGGAATTTACAAAAAAAAAAGAGATTTTATATTATCCAATATAAAGTACAATACAATAGTCTTATAAATACGGACTTTCATACCATAATATTAAAGTAGAAAATAAGTCGACTGTATAGGTATTTTTGAATGTATTTTATTGGATTAATGAAAAAACAAATAAATAACGCAAAACATATAAACTTGGATGAAATCTACTAAAACAATTGTAAGTATTATTGGTATTTTAACATTAGATTTATGTGATATGGTAAAGAAACGATAATTTATAATAAATAAAAGTATTCGTTTCAATCGAAAGTAAAGTATAACTTAAGACTGCTTTTAAATTCATAAATTTCTTTATATATGTTTTCATAGAGAACAGGTGTTCATAAAGAAAGAAATAACGGCAAAATCTTTGTGGGAAAAATGTTGTTTAAGGTAGTCAACAAAAATACTAACATGCATAACACTATTTTCGACCCTTTCTTCGATGACACTTTTTTTTTTTATTGATAACATTTTCTTTAACGATAAACTCCTCATAGCACTCGTATTCTTCTCGGATGATGAACCGTTGCATTCAGCGATACTTTCAAGTATGTTTGTTGGTAATTCCATCGGGCTATCACTATAGGCTATTTTGGCAACTGAAGAAGAATCATACATTTTTTTCTCCACATCAATTCCTTTCATTTGTATGTTTGTCAAAGTACTAACGTCACCCTTTATTTGGGTTTTAAACTGTACGCTGAACCGTTTTACATTATCGTCGCTCGTTAAATCCAATAATTGTATGAATTCCTCAAATTTAGCGTAAAAATTCAAGATGTACTTAGATCTGGGATCGACATTCATTATCCCTTTAACATGCGTTAAAAAATTTAAACACAACCGTACCATCATTACTTTCAACATTGAAATGAAATGGCGTTGAACTTCGTATAAAACACTGATATGTTCTTGTATTGATGTTGCCGGATCTAAAACCGTTTTGTAATTGTTATCAAAATACAATTTTAAGTCGTCGTCGTTAGGGATCAGTCCCAATCTAGTAATCAAAGTGTTCATGATGTCGCTATTTCCAAACACGTTGTTGAAATATAGTCGATCCATACTTAAATTATGCGTATCCATGAATCTCGTCAATGGTTCTCGTGTATTTGTGAATAATGTATTATGATAATCTAAAAATTTGCAGGAAATTCTTCTGTGCATCTCCAACTTTTTCGAATCGTTTTCTTTGATTATATCATTAATGTATGTTTGGTATACTCTTCGGCGTCCGTCTGCAGTTTGTAATTCTTGGCAATCCATTCGCAATCTATTTTGCAATACCTCAAAAGTTTGATTGTGAATAGACTCCAATTCAATTGAGTAATATTCATAATTTCTTTTATAATATCTCATGTTGTTTCGTACCTTATAAGAGTAAAATAAAAATACCCACATAGGCTGCACCATTGTTCTAGTGCCGTCAGAATCTGACATAACAATTAACAGTCTTTTGGACCATTCATAAAAAGCATGCGATTTATCATACTGTTCCAACTTTGTGGGCGTTAGTGTTTTACATAAATGGACGTGTAAAGTTGCATGGTACAAAAGATTGCATCCCCGCTGGCGATATGATTGTTTTAGCATAAGTGGTAAATCGTCATAATTATTTGAACGAATTGGGACCGCGACGAATAATATGACACACACGATTGCCACATAACGCATTAAGAACCGCGTCATTTTTAAACCGCACTTTAAAAACATTTTAAAACGCATCGACAAGAAATCGTATTCATTTTCTACCAAATAATATAAAATTGGTATTTTTACGTCTTTCCTATATTAATTTTAAATGCGAAAGCCTGTCGATTGCACACCGAGGAAAATGGTTTGCAATAACATACGTCGGTTGACTATTTACTCTATTCTAGACGTTTTATAAAAAAAAAACATTTTTATTGCCGTGTTCTCTGTATTAAAATCGCATTTTTTCTCTTCATCTACCGAATTACAATGTTAAGCTTATGGCACTGCTTGGCCAAGTCCTCCTCTAATTTTTACAATATTTATTTTTCCGCAAGTTTTTTGTTTTCTAGTGTTATTTCAATCGTACGCCATTACGTTAGCATTCTTCGGATGTCATGTTATAATAATTATTTACCTCCTGACTTTGAATCCGGTTTTAAAATGTCCACCACTCATTAAGGATAAAACACTAATTTTCTTTTTAAAAAATAATAACCATTTTATAGTTTTTGGATACATTTTTAGTTTTACAATATTAGACAATATTCAAATTCAAAATATCAAATAAAGGTTGTATCCCTTTCTCGACTCTTCATACAATTGCATTCGACTTATTATTTTTATAATGTCACTTTTTACGTTTGTACTGTACAAAAAAAATAAAATAAAAAATAAAGCATCAGTTAACTGTGAACTGGTTTTTAAACTAATGACGGAAATATAATTTTGTAACGTTATCATGATTGGGTTGAAATCATAATTTTATACTCCAAAATAAAACGTTTTTATTTCAACCATAGTGATGTAAACATTTACTTACTAATATAATAACTTGTTTAAAAAATAATATATTTTTATGTTACACAATATAATTAAATTCTAATAAATACGGCCTTTAATACCATAGTATTAAACTAAAAACTAGGACAACAGTATAGATATTTTTTTATGTATTTTATTGGATTAATTAAAAAACAAATAATAAACAGGCATATAAACTAGGCAGAAAGCAACTGAAAAATGTTTAAGTTTTATTGGGATTTTAACATAAGATTGATATGATATAGTAAAGAAACGATAATTTATAATAAATAAAAGTATTCATTTCAATCGAAAGTGAAGTATAATACTTAAAATAAGTTATGTATAACTTAAGATTGATTTTCTTGTAAATTCATAGATTTCTTCATAGATGTTTTCATTGAGAATGGGTGTTCATGAAGAATGAAATAACAACAAAATCGTAGTCGGTAAATTTTTGTTTTAGATAGTCAACAAAAATGCTAGCATGCAGAATACAAGTTTCGACACGAATCTCTTGGGCATTTTTTTTCTGTAACAATGGAAAATGCATAGATTTTGTTGGGTTATTAAATGGTAGACTGTTGCTCTTAGCGATACTCTGAAGTGTGAGAATTAGTAATTCCTTTGATCTATTACTATAAGGTTCCACAATTATTTGCTGCATATCCATTCTGTTAAGTTGTAAATTGTTATCCTCAGTTTGAGGTTTAAACTGTTCGCTGAATAGGTTTACTTCATCGTCACTCGGTAAACCTAACAATTGTATGAATTCCTTACATTTAGCGTAAAAATTCTTGTTGTACTTGGATATGCGATTGACATTCTTTATCTCTTTAACATGCGTTAAATAATTTGAACACAACCGTATCATCATAACTTTCAACATTGAAATGAAATTACTTAAAACTTGGTATAACGTACTGATTTGTTCTTGTATTGATGTTTTCGGATCTAAAACTGTTTTGTAATTGGTGTTAAAATACTTTTTTAAGTCGTCGTCGTTAGGAATCAATCCAAATTTGGTAACTAAGGTGTTCATGATGTCCCTATCTTCAATCACGTTATTTAAATATAGTTTTTCTATTTCTAATTTATATGCCATTTTCCAAATATCACTTATGTTTTCCATATGAAAATCTAAAAATTTGCGGACAGTGTTTTTGTTATTCTTCAACATTTCTGGATCATTTTCTTTAGTTATATCATTCGTATAAGTTTCGTATAATCTTTTGTTTCCGTCTGCAGTAAACAAGTCGGAACACTCCGTTTGCAACGTACGTCGCAGAAATATAAAAAAAAACCTTTTCAATACAGTGTTCTCCGTTTTAAAATCAATTTTTCTCTCTTCGTCTACCGAATTTCAATGTCAGTAAGTCAGGTGGGCCTTGAAATTCTAAAGACTCTGTATTTGTCTACGTTAGGTGCATATTATTATAACGCAACCTTATTATGGGTATCTAAAAAATGTTTACAGTCTTTTGAACGTGTAAAAATTGTTTTTTTTTTCATTTAAACAGTAGAAATGGAAATGCACATCGAACCACACAAATATTTTTCTTTAGTAAAAAATTGTGTTTTCGTGGTATCTAATACCTTTGTGTTTGATTTCTGTTTTCTAATAACTGATGCAATTCTTATTCAAAAAATAAGATTTAATGTTATCCAATATAGTCTTATAAACACGGGCTACAATCCCATACTATTAAACTAAACCAGTATTACGCTAACATTTTTACAATATTTACTTACATTTACTTATTATTAACTAATGCAATACTTATTTGAAAAAACCAGTACAGTGGGGTCGGGGCATAGTGGGGACGGAGCATAGTTGGGTCGGGACATAGTGGGAACAGGGAGGTCACAGGGCTTACAGGAATTTATAAATCTGAAAGTGATAAAACACTTTCGAACTAACGCTTCGATGCAAATCAGTAGTTAGTATTTTTAAGCCAGTACAGTCCAAACCAAGCACAGTATAAACCAGCAAAGTTAGAAAGTATTAAATTGAGGTTCTGTATTTGCCAATAAGCATCAAAGCGTTTAATTGAAAGTGATTTTATTCAATTTTATCACTTTTATTTATAATAATTCCTGTAGACCTGTGAGCTCTCCTTCCCCTCGTTACTTTGATTCCATTATGCCTATACTCTACTGTACTTGTCCTCTCGGATAAAATCACTTTCAAATTAACGCTTTGATGCTTATTTGTAAATACAGCACCTCAATTTAATACTTTCTAACCTTACTGGTTTATACTATGCTTGGTTTGTGAAGTACTGGCTTGAAAATTCTAAATACCGATTTGCATCAAAGCGTTCTTTCGAAAGTGATTTTATCACTTTCAGATTTAAAAATGTCTGTAAACCTGTGACCACCCCGTCC